CCCCCCCCCCCCCCCCCCCCCCCAGGCTGGCCGTGTCCCTGCCTGGCTGGTGCCTGCAGCTGCTGTGACAATGCCGGCTCTTGTCCTCCCCAGCTGGACTTCTGGCGGGCCCCTGCCCGGCCTGGCTTCCCCATCGACATCCGAGTGCCATTCTTCAGCATCCAGGCTGTGAAAATCTTCCTGGAGGCACATGGCATTGGGTATGAGACGATGATCAAGGATGTGCAGGAGCTGCTGGATGAGGAGCGGGAGCAGATGGTTGCTGCCCGAGCCCAGGCCCGCTCCACGGACACCTTTAACTACGCCACCTACCACGACCTGGAGGAGGTGAGGGCAGCCCTGGCCGCCACTCCCACAAGCAGCAAGCTCTTCCTCACAGCTGGCAGAGTGCGGCCAGGGCCAGGGCTGGCCTGGGTGTGTGGCACCTACCCTGTTTCTGCGTGGCCTGTGTGGCCTGGGTCATGGCGCCATCGCATTGCAAGGCTCAAAGCAGCCATGAGTGTGGAGCTGCTAAGGGAGGCGTCTGGGTTCCCAGAACCATGAAGGCCACTCTTCCTTTCTTTTCCATCTCAGATCTATGGCTTCATAGACCAGCTGGTGGCTGAGTACTCACCGCTTGTCGAAAAGATGCAGATTGGCAACTCCTATGAAGGTCGTCCCATCTACGTGGTGAAAGTAATGGATGCGCACACATGGATGCACATGGGCGTCCACACATGCGAGAATGGGCCCCCACAGGCCCCCACACATGGGCGGGGGCTCCCATGGGGAAGCCTATGGTCTCAGGGAGCACAGTGTCACATGGACTCCCCATGCAGACAGTGGGGCGAGTCTGAATTTCCATGCTGGTGTAGGTGGGCACGCATGCGTACACATGGCTCCACCTTTTCGGTGCCCCAAGTGTTTCCAATCAAGTGTCACATTATAGAAGGCACTGTGGAGTCTGGGTAGACCAAACATTTTTTGTGTGACCTCCTGCAGAGAACTGTCTGAGTAGCAGAGCAAGGGCGGGGTGGGAAGTCTGGTTGAGTCATAGTCACCCCAAACTGGAGCCGAGGGTGGGAAGCCATGCTCTGTGGGATCCCTGTCCAGCCTCCAGCCCCACTCACATGAGTGATGGTCCCACAAATGCAGCCTCTACCTGAAACAGGCAGAGAGCATGTGGCCTCTGGCCTGGGGTGGGGTCTCCTTTGGGGGATGAGAGGAGGCCCCAGCTATGAAGTCACTCTTTGACTGCTTCCTGCCTTGTCTCCAGTTCAGCACTGGGCAGGACAGCCGTCCAGCCATCTGGATCGACGCAGGCATCCATTCCCGGGAGTGGATCACCCAGGCCAGCGGGGTCTGGTTTGCAAAAAAGGTAAAGCCAGGGAGGTGAGGAGGGCTGCGCCCAGTGGGGCGTCGGTGTCCGAGGACCACAGAAGACTGGGTCTCCCCTTTCCCACAGAGGGAGGCTGAGGGGAGGTGTCCCTTGCTCTAGCATGGCAGACGCCTGGCCTGGCCCCCTCTGACCTCCCTCCTCTCCTCCCCAGATCGCACAGGACTATGGCCAGGATGAAGCTTTAACCAACATTCTTGACAACATGGACATCTTCCTGGAGATTGTCACCAACCCTGATGGTTTTGTCTACACCCACACCACGGTACAGGCCTTCTCCTGCCTTGCAGAAAGCAGGATGCGCCCCTGGACTCTGAGCCCCACAGACAACTCACCCCTAACCTCAACCCCTCAAAGTCAAAGGAGGGCAAACAGACCTGCCCTCCTAGACCAGGGTTTCTCAACCTTGGCACTATTGGCATTTTGGGTGGATAATTCTCTGTTGTGGGGACCATCCCATACATGTAGGTATTTAAAAGCATCCTAATCTTCTATCTGCTAGATGCCAGGAGCGCCCTGCAACCCCAGCTGTGACAGTCAAAAATATCTTCAGATATTGCAAAATATCTTGGGGGAGGGTCAACCACTGCCCTCCGCCTTACCAGTCCTACTTTTATATTTAAGGCAAATACAGCATCTCACCAATGAAGTGGGGCCTGGGGTGGGGTGGGGCAGGGGACACTTGATGGCTTCTTTAGCACATAGAACCCTCTGGTCAAATGCCCTTCTTGGTCCTCTCTGTTCTCCTCAACCTGAGGCCCCCTTCGCAGATGTTCCTCCCTGACAACCAGTGGAAAGTGGTCCTATCCCCATGCTGTTCCCACAGCTGAGCTCACCATCTGGACACTTTGTGTGGATAGTCGCTTCCTCCAGGAAGCCCCCCGGCCTCACCTGGCCCTCTCTGCAGGCTTTGAACCCCCCATCTAGCACTGAGAGGGTAAAGGGCCGATGCCCAACATGTGGGTTGGCTGACCCTTTTCCTTCCTTAGAATCGCTTGTGGCGCAAGACTCGGTCCCTTACGCCAGGCTCTGCGTGTGCTGGAGTGGACCCCAACAGGAACTGGGATGCTGGCTTTGGGTGTAAGGCCCAGTGTGATCTGGGCAGCAGCGATGGGACAACCCCAAATGGCTTCTTGCCCTCTCTTGTCTTGGTGCCCCCACCCCTTTCCAGCCCCAGCAGTGAGGGGAGGCTGGGGGGACATCGGCTCCACCTCTGAGGACTGTCAGCGAAGGAGGAGGTGGTCTGAGATCTGCTTGTCCCTTGTCTGTAGAGAGAAAGTTCCTTCTAGAGGGAACTAAGGTCTGCGAACCTGTCTAGGGGTTTTCTAGCTTAACATCAACTCCTTCCTCCTCGGCCACATCCTGTGAGAGCTGGTCTTGGTCAAGGAGCCCAACCTACCTCCCTGGGCATGTCCATCAGCTCTGCCCAGACCTGGCTGGGAAGGGAGGCAGAACCCCCAGGTTATAAAAGGCCTTGGTACTTTCCTTAATCCTGGGGTGGGGAGTGAGCCCTCCTGGACCCCACCTCACCTGCAGAGAACTGGAAGCTGTGGATGCTGCAGAAGCCACACCACTGTGCCTTCTGTCCTCTCAGTGTCTGGAGCCAGCAGCAACCCTTGTTCGGAGACTTATCATGGCAAGTCTGCCAATTCTGAAGTGGAGGTCAAGTCCATTGTGGACTTTGTAGTGGGCCACGGGAACATCAGGGCCTTCATCTCCATCCACAGCTACTCCCAACTCCTCCTCTATCCCTATGGCTACAAAGCAGAACCAGCCCCCGACCAGGAAGAGCTGGTAGGTGCTGACCCCTCCTTTCCCTCTAGTCCCAAAGACAGCTTTGGGTGGGTCTGGGTTTTTGCCCATCAGGCCTGCTTTAGGCACGAGTGCCTACAGAGTGCCTAGCACCCCTTTCTCCAGTGGACCCCTGATGGCTTGGGAAGACCAGTAAGGTAAACTAACCTCACTTTCTTTCTGGGAAACCAAGGCACAGAGTGCCTTTCTGGGAAACCAAGGGCTAGACTTCGAACTTGCGGCAGCACACCTGGAGCTGCAATGTGACCTAAGGGCAGGGAAGTGCCAGCCTGACATCCTGCAGGGTCAGAAGACTGTGGCACTGCTGAACTTCAGGGCTGACCCTGCAGGGCTGAGCAGGCTCTGTGCTCCCTGCTGGGGACCCGCTTCTGCACAGTGCTCCTGGGCTACCCTGAAGCCCCCAGGCTACCTGGTCATGCTGTTCTGGTGGCCTGGCCATGAATGGTGGCCTTGTGGTGTTTTCTCCAGGATCAGCTGGCTAAGTCTGCTGTGACAGCCCTGGCCTCTCTGTATGGGACCAAGTTTGAATATGGCAGCATCATCGAAACAATTTGTAAGTGGCCACATGGTCTCTCTGGGTGGTCCCAAGATGAACATCAACTGGCTTTTCCTGCCTGAGGGAGTATCTCTCATGGAAGGAAGTAGCCAAGCGTGCCAGGTCTGGGAGCATGGGCCAGGAGAACTCCGGCCGTGCCTGATAACTACTGGCTGGTTTTGAGGGGTGGGCAGTCCCTTTTCATGACATCAACTCTGCCTTCATTGATACTGTCAGACAAACGTGAGTTCCTTTAAGAACTCTTGCACCCTTGTCTTAGGGTTAAGTCCAGCTTCATGCATGGATAGTGAAGAATCCTCCTGGGATTTGTAGATCACCAGGAAATGCAACTTAAAAAAACACTTCTCCAATGCCCTTCAATTAGAGAGTATATCTGATATTTTCCACCACTTACTTATATATGAAATGCCCCCGGGAGGAGCATTACTACATCAAAATAGAATTAAGTCTACACATGTTTACTGAACACCTACTCTGTACCAGGCCCTGTGTGCTTGGGATACAGACTTGATTAAAATAAGCAAAGATCGGGAATTTATATTTTAGCCAGGGAGACTGACAATAAGTATATGATACAGTATGATAGGTGGTAAATGCTGGGGAGAAGAACTAAACTAGAATAGGGTAAGGGAAACCAGGAATACTGGGAGTGCAGGTGGTGCAGGCAGGCTGAAAGGCACCCCTCACTGAAAGAGTGAAATTTGGGCAAATGTTGAAGGAGATGAGGGTTGAGCCAAGAGGCAATCTATCTGTCTAGGGAAGAGCCTTCCAGGCAGAGGAACTTTCTAGAGTAAAGGCCCTACTACGGGATCTGGTCTGGGGTGTTGCAGGAATAGCAAGGAGACCAGCATGGCTCATTAGAGTGCTGAAAGGTAGAAGCGGGTACAGGGGTTGTGGGGAGGGCTATGCACACCTCATGCAGGCACTCCTGCCCGGGGGGTGGTGGGTGAGTGGGTCAGTCTTGCCCAAGGATGACCTCACCTTTGGAGCCCAGGCCTTCTTTAGAAACTGTTTCGACCCTGAGTCAAGAGTTTTGCTGCATTCCATGTTGCTGAGTTGAATTCTGACATGCAGCTTACCTCCTTTTCCCCTGCCCGATTCAGAAGTGGCTTCACTGTTAACTGCCAGCCCGGGCAGTTTCCTCCTCAAAGAAAGGCAAGGAGCTTTTGCTTTGACTCTGGCTCTTTGTACTTTCCCCTGCAAACCATGGAACAAATCCTGGTTACCCAAATGGGGAACTCTGGTATATTTAGAGGCTTCACCAAAGTGGCTGTTGGCTGAAGGCAGTTTTCAGAGGGCCTTTGGCAATTGCAGACTTTCTTGCAACCCCAGTGATTAGGAGAACCATTGTTGGTCTTTGGGCCTCATGGGCTTAGACCCTTCCTCGAGAGTTTCTTGGAAGCCAGGCTGCTTGTTTAACAGCAGACCTTAGCTGATACTGATTCCACTCAGCATTGCACAAGGCTCTGGGCTTTGGACCTCTAACCTGGCCCATGTAAATGTTTCCAAAGTGATTGACCCTTGCTCTCCTCTGGCCCAGATGAAGCCAGTGGAAGCTCCATTGACTGGAGCTACAACCAGAGCATCAAGTATTCCTTCACCTTCGAGCTCCGGGACACTGGGTACTATGGCTTCCTGCTGCCAGCCTCCCAGATCATCCCTACGGCTCAGGAGACGTGGCTGGGTCTTCTGACCATCATGGAGCACACCGTGAATAACCCCTACTGAACTGGTCCTTTGGCACCCTCCTCTTCCTTCTCTCTGGCCCCACC